GCCATAAATGTTTCGTGTTAACAGCAGGAAGATGTTAGCTGGTGACAGTGTTATATTCCACTGTTGTCAGCTTTTAATTAGGAAAGATGGCATTCGTGCCAACCTCACTGCATCTGCCTCAGATGGGCATTGTTTGATATTAGTGGCTTGGTTTAATGGTAGGACCCTTATAAACTGGTACTTAACCGCGTCTCTCTTCCTTATGCTTTCCGGGCTTTTGTGGCGGCGAAGGCGAGTTGCCACTGAGTTCCTTTCTCAGCTTGCCGACAGAAGCCCTGTCGAATACGCAAACAATCACTCAATCACGTTATGAATATTTATGGGAGGGGTTGATTACGACATTTACTTGCTTGCATTGCATTGCTCTGCAAACACTGACGAACCTTGGGCGTAAATTAATATTTGCAAATTGTAAGAGCAACGTGTTCCAAATCCAAGAAGTATGTAAATACGTATATTGACATGAATATATTTCAGCCTGATGTGTTGCTGATGCGTCTCTGTTTGTCAGCTCCTCTCTGATGTTCTTTGTGTTTCTGAAGTCAGGGTCACCAGGGATCAATTCTGTATCAGCCGCCCTTGAGGACAGGGTTGAGCTCTGACCCCGAGTACAAACATGCAGCATTTTCCCCAAATCTGGCTCTCCTTCTGGGGAGAAGGGGGCAGAGGATACATATTTGACAGCACCTGAGACCAGTCCTTTCCTCTATGCATGACCAGTAGGGAAGAAGGATGGAATCGTTAGTGGGATCTTGTACTGGGACGGGGGCAGGCGGAGGTCTTTTTAATGCTCCTATCAGTGACAGCTGAAAAGCTGTGAGAACCACTGTACACACACACACAGCTCCTTTATACTGAGTTAGACCATTGGTCTGTGAAGGTCAGTATGACAGGCAGTGGCTCTCCAGCATCTCCGGCAGAGGTTTGTCACACTACCTGAACCTTTTTTAAATTTGCCTGGTGATGCCTTGGATTAAAACTGGGATCTTCTGCATGCAAAGCAGATGCCCCTCCCACTGAGCAATTTCAGCGCAGACATTTTAAATTACACGCAGAAAGGTATCGGCTGGATATTAGGAAAAACTTTTTCCCAGTCCGAGTGGTTCAGGAGCGGAACCAGCTGCCTAAGGAGGTGTTTAGCTCCCCTTCTATAAAGTACTGGGTTCGCTGCATGGAGGAGTCGTACTACGACATGCGGATGGACGCATTTATTAGTACCTTTCACCAGAACAGGAAAAATACCGGCCGTAGGCCAACTATATACAATCCCTCAGACCACCCCCCAAGTCTCATTGGTGGGTTTAAACTTCCCACCTATGTTACCATTGTTGCCTGCGGGAGGATTCAGGATCCTAGTCCCTATTGTCCTTGCTGAGCCAAGCTCAGGTAGATCTTGCCGTCACCTAGTGGTGGGCAACAGACATAACACCTTCACTGACAGCTTTCAAGAAGAGGCTGGACGAATATTTGTCAGAGATGCTTTAGGCTGGTCCTGCATTGGGCAGGGGGTTGATGGTCTGCATGGCCCCTTCCAACTCTGTGATTCTCTGATTTCTTTGTCACGTTATCTGTTCAGCCACCATATTTTCTGAATGACCTTCCATGATACAGTGTCAACAGAAAGGAGGCATCTATCCTACAGACTTAAGCTTTGGCCTCATCCACACACACAGTTGTAGAAGTTATAGGAGCCACTTCCCTCTGATGTGATCCTACACAATTGGTAAGTGTGTGCTTATCACAACCATGTGGCAGGAACAATTGTGTGGATCTTTCCTACCCAACTGCCATCCTATCAGGAAGGGTAAGAGTTCAGCTGGGAAGAGTTATGCATTTGTGGTGTTACAGTCATACTTTTGTGGTTGCGATTCTCATATTCCTTCCCATACATGAGAGGGCTTGATGTGGGATACTGTCACCATCCTGCTACCCTGTTGCTCGTTCTCGTCTTTCCCACAAGATGGAAGGGTCTGGTGCTGAATCCTACTATAGACAGATCAGAATGGGCCCTTCCCTCCTTTGTCTGTCATATTCTTCCACGGGAATCATTCCCGTTCCTGCACTGCTTTGTGTATGAAAGAAGAGCACCACATTTTGCAGTTATGCCTTCTTCCCGGGTAACTATAGCCCTCGAGAAGCACAGGCCCATACCAGGGTTTTGTGGGGCTTGAATTTTACAGTTTTCTTTGGTGGGGCTTGAATTTTACAGTTTAAAAAAATAAACCCAGCTCCCTGTAACCTCTTCACCTCACCACTCCTTGTCTGTAATTTCTCTTTTAAACATTTTACAGGAGAAAATCTTGTGGGGTTGTCGCTTTAAAAAAGGGGGCGGAGCCCCAAATAGTCCCACCGTAGCCACAGAGCATGCTGTATGGGATTCTAACAGAATTTTCAGTTTCCATACAAATTATAATTCCTGTAATAGTGAAAACGCTGCAAAAACTATATCAGAACGAGAAGAAAAGTCCACTTTTGTTGTGTGAATGCACACACTGTGACCCATACCCTGGGTTTTTTCGTTGACGTGCCCTATTGACTCCAACCTTGGGATTGTGTGCATTCCTTCAAGACCTTTGTGCCTCATGCTGAATGAGGGTAGAGCAGCTGGGGGGGGGGGAATTACAGGCACCCAGCAATCCCCATACTGTTGTTCCTAGCCCATGTAAGTAAAACTGGCTTAATGGTTCAAGAGAGTTTCCTGCCTCTGAATGTGTGGGAGGGATGTGTACCGTTAAGCCGAAGTTATCCAGCTCCCAGAGTTATCCAGATCCCAAAGTTATCACTTCGTGTTTTGTATTTGGGAACAGATGCCTGAGTAGAAAAACCATCAAGGGGCCATATAACATCCCCAGCATGGCACCCTGACATTTTGCTGTTGTTGTCCTGAAGTAATACTTCCTCTTGTGGGTTCATACTGTTCGGATGATGAGAAGAATGTGTGCACTGCCTAAGTAGAAAATGTAATGTGAGAATTGGATTTCAATCAGTCATCATTTCCTGCCCTGATATGAGTAACTGGGGATGACCGTGTTTGAATCTTGAGCCTTAGGGCCAAGCCAGTCAAGATGGCAACCTCGTATCCACCTTGAGGACACCACGGCCATTTTAAAGTCATTTCAAAATGCTGCAAGGGCCTGGTCCTGATTGGGCCTGCACCATGGCAAGCTGAGGTGTTCTCGTCCCCCCCCCCCGCTTGTTATCAAGTGCTGAAACAGCTGCATTCCCCCAGCCCACAGCCTGTTCAGCACGAAAAGGCATGGGGCAAAAGAGTGCCGCATTGCAGGCCCAGTTGGGCCCTCTCGGCATTTTAAAATTACTTTAATGGAGAGCCAGTTTGGTGTAGTGTTTAGGAGAATGGACTCTAATCTGGGAGAACCAGGTTTGAGTCCCCACTCCTCCACATGCAGCCAGCTGGGTGACCTTGGGTCAGTCACAAGTTCTCTCAGAGCTGTTCTCTCCAGAGCAGTTCTCAAAGAGCTCTCTCAGCTCCACCTACCTCGCAGGGAGGGGAAGGAGATTGTAAGCTGCTCTGAGACTCTGAATGAAGGGTGGGATATAAATTCAATTCCTCCTCCTCCACCTCCTCTTCTTCTCCTTCTTCAAAATGGCAGCCCCGTGGCAACCACAAGGACACCATCACATCTAGTTCGGCCCTTATTTGTGCTGGCGCTGTAGCCCAGCCATTTACAGTTGTTACTTTTTTATTTTTAAAAAAATGCACAGAAGGTTATTAATGAGGGGATTTGTGTGCTTTTATGGCATCTTTTTCTAAATAACTTTGGGCTTCAAATGTGTTTGTTAAATAGAAAAATCTTCACCAATCTCTCTTTTGGGAGAAATTCTCATTACAGCCGATCCAGAAGGAGAGAGCTTCAAAGAAGCTGGCAATATCTGCTGGGGCAATGAACATTTCTGCTTCATTGCTGCAAAAACAGACCACAGAGACGGCTAGTTTATTAGGGAAAGGGATTGAAAAATAAAAACAGCCCATATTGTAAGGTTCTTGTATACATCCATGGTGCGGCCTCCATTTAGAACACTGTGTACAGTTCTGATCAGAAGAATAAGGTACTAGGATGTGGAGTGTGTTCTGTATGAAAAAGCTAAGGAGGTGGATTGTTTTGGTTGAGGGGGGGCACACATATTAAGGATTGATATGTATAGTACATAAAACAAACACAGAGAACTGTTTCCCTCTCTGCCCTAACACTAGAACTTGAAATCAACAAATGAAGTTGGTAGTGGAGAGTACATTCAGTAGACACAACATAAACCCAATGCGCAATTCACATGTGGAGCTCACTGCCACATGACAGGGTGGTGGCTGCTGGCTTAGACAGCTTTAAATGCAGGAGGCACCATTAGGAAGGACATATGTATTAAGGGCTAATAGTCACAATTAGGGCTATTTTTGGGCAGGAACACACAGGAACGGAGTTCCGGCTGACTTCAGAGTTGGCCACGCCCACCAGCCAAAACCTCTACATGTGTGGATACAGAGGGAATGCCTGGAGAGCGACCCCCCCGGCTACTCCAAGGGCTGGCTTGCCTGGGTTCCCCGAAGCTGTAGGGCACCTGGGCAAGCCAAGGGAATAAACTGCCTTCCCTTCAAGGGGGGCCTTGCCCAGGCTCCCTGCAGCTGTGGGGCGCCCGGGCAAGCCAAGGGAAGGCATGGGGGTGTGGCCTAATATGCTAATTAGCTGCACTGTCAGGGTGTGACCTAATGTGCTAATGAATTTCTGCTGTTGGGTGTGGCCTATTATGCTAATTAGTTCCTCCTGGGCTTTTTCTACAAAAAAAGCCCTGGTCACAATGTTACATTGAACCTGAGTCTTCTGAAGCAGTATGTGTTTGAATGGAAAGGGCAGGTACTCTGTTCCCATTACGCCCTGCTCTTCTTGGTTGGCTGCAGTGAGAAACGGGCTGCTGGACAATTGGACCAGGGTCCTCCTCATGTTCTTACATGTGTTGCCTTTGCTTTTTTCTCTCTGTCTGTTCAGCCTGTGATTCCGACAAGCCCGACGAACAGCTCCACAACCCCTACCAGCACAATGGGCATGAGCTCCAAAATAGACAGCTCAACTCTCCAAGACGTTTTCATCCTCTCCCCAATGTCAGGACTCTACGGCCCAAGGTACACCTTGCCCAGGGATGATGGTCTTGATTCTGCAGAGTTTGTGAGTTCAGACTTGGGAAAACAGACTCTCTCACTTGCACCCTTTCTTTGGAACATCATTAAACAAAGGGTTAATTTTAATCCAAATAACTCCCAGCAATCTATGTCCAGAAAGCGTGACTGATAATGGACTGAGTCCGAAGGACCATGATGTGAAGGAATATTGCAGCTAGTGCTCATTCACAAGAGTTAAAATAACACAGACATATGGCAATTTTCATGATTGTGAGTTTAATTTTGCTTTTCTCATACAAAGCTCTAACATAAAGTGTAAAAGAACACTTTGTTGTACAGAAAATGCTTTTGGCCTGCAGAAAAGCATCTCTGGGTCACATCCATTATGTCCTGTACATGTACAACTAAAAGTTGCAAATCCATATAGAATGGTCCAAGGCTAACCACTACCCCACACTGACTCTCTTGCAGACATGCACCCATATTTGATAGATATAACACAAAGCCCTTTGTCTTCAGTGGCTGTCTGTTCTCACCTAGCAACAGGAATTATGCATTTAATTTGGTAGAAAAGACTAGAAGTCCAGTAGCACCTTAAGGACTAACATAATTTGTGGTAGGGTATGAGCTTTTGTGAATCACTGCTCACTACTTCAGATACAGCTAGAATGTGAGTTCATCTATCCTATATATTGGAAAGTGGAGTGATGTCAGATGCCAAATGACATTAGCAGGCAAATGTCAATAGCAGGTGTGATTGGATTAGGTGTGATATGCCGGGAGGTAGTAGGTGTGGAGAACTCAGCATTGGTAATGAGAGAGGAAACCTAGGTCTCGATTCAGTCCAGGAGGATGCACTGTCGAGTTTCATTATCAGCTGCAATTCAGCAGTCTCTCTTTCTAATCTCCCTTTGAAATTTAATGTGGTTTCAAGTGGGTAGCCATATTGGTCTGCAGAAGAAGAGCAAGATTCGAGCCCAGTAACACCTTGAAGAACAACAAGATATCCAGGCTATAAGCTTTAGAGAATCAAAGCTCCCTTAGTCAGATGTGTTGTATCTGATGGAAGGGGCTTTGACTCTTGAAACCTTATATACTGAAAATCTTATTGGTCTTTAAGATGCTTCTGGACTTGAATCTTGCTCATTTAATGTGCTGGTTGATATCTCCTGTTGTGTTCAGAAATCATATATGACAAAAAAAATTCCTGCATCTCTCAGCCCCTGAATGTTTCCCTTTGCAAAACACAGGGGTGGCCCTACCAGAAAGATATCTGAAGTTGCAAATGGAGAGTCAATAGAGCTTACACTGGCCTTGATAAAATTTTGATTTACCATACCAGTGGTATCTGGTGGCGATTTTCCCTGCATCAGACTTTTCCTCAGAATGGTGTAGGAGCACTTGATACTGCAGCATTGCCAAAGCCATGATGCTGTCTTGGTGGTACCACAAAGCATGCTTTGTGTGTAGAACATCTCAGGCTCAATCCCCATCACCTCCATTTAAAGGAACTCAAGGAGCAGGTGTTGGGAAAGACCTTTCTCTGCATGAGTCCCTGGAAAGTCACCACTAGTCAATACTTGGCTAAACAATACTAGGGCCCCGTTCAGACGGAGCATTTGCTGCGCTGAAGGCACGATAGTCCCACGGATTTTCCGGGCGCAATCACACCGGAACATCTGGGAGCCGTAGCGCACCCGTGGCATCCCGCCGAAGGTGCGCATTTTAAAAGTACCTGGGACGACCTACTGGCAAATGGTTTGCCACGGGCTGCATGCGGACTCCTTGGGTGTGATCGTTCTGGCGTGCGGCTTTCTCCCCCATCGTCCTCTTTGCCGCAGGGAAGCTGCCGTTGCATCTGATTGCATAATGGTGCATCAGAATGAGACTGCGCAAATAGTCACACTTCCCACCCGTGTTTTCCATCACGTCTGACCAGGGCCTAGGATAGGTATAATACAGCTTCATAGGTTCAAGCAGAGCAGGAGTAGAACTGCTTGGTGCCTGGATGGAGGATTTCTGGGAGGTATGCAGAAGCTGGTCTGAACTTCCCAAGGAAGAGCAGAATGTGATTGTAGTACAATAATAATCCATGGTATTCTTTTTCTTTATATTTCACCATTGATTGGAAAGCCCTTTGCAGAAATTCATTATCTCTTTGTCAACTTCTCATTTGACTCGTTTCTCCCTCTGTTCTTAGAGACGAAATCGGAATAATGTCTTGTGACGACATCAGCAAGTATGGTGTTGGAAAGACTGGGCTGAAGGGTTCTGAGTCCCCGAGCTACTTTTTGGAGCATGAAAGTGGGAAATATTACACATTAATTGAAGGCGAGGGCCATCCGGCAAGCTCTGAATATGAACGAGGCAGAGCGACGGGGATACGGCGAAGAGAGAAGACTCCCACGCACGGTATTATGCTTTTTCTGGCTTTGACCTTTCACAGTGATTCGTGCTTTCTTTCTCATATTTACCAGTTGATTCAAAGCTGGAATTGAGTTGGAAAAGGGGCCTGTGATTCGACAAGAGTAAAATACGTGGCCTGTAAGAACCAAACCCTAATAATACGAGACCTGCTGGATCAGACCCAAGATCCATCTAGTCCAGCATTCTGTTTCCAACACTGGCCAGCCGGTTGCCACAAAGGAAATTTCAAGTAGGACATGAAAACAGCAACACACTTCCACTATTTGCCTCTTCTGGTCACTGATATTCACAAGTGCATTGCCTCTAAATGCAGAGGCTCCATTTAGTCATTATAGCTTATAGCTCTTGATAGACCTATTGCATGTATTTGATCACTAGGACTAAAATTTGGGTTTCAGCATGTGGCACCTCCAGCTCACTATTGCAGATATGTGGATGGCTCCGAGCTTGCTTCTCAGCACATAATGAGAGGAACCTGTGCTTTTGTATGAGATGTGATTGGATTCAAGGAAGGCATGTTTATGATAATTTGGGACTCTGGAAATGCCACTGGCTGACGAAAAAGTGTTTCCTGTAGTCACTGGTGTGCAGCAACTCATCAAATATTACATGAAGCTCCTTTATATTGTCAGACCCTTTGTCTCTCGAGGCCAATATTGTCTGCTCTGACTGGCAGCCGCTCTCCAAGGTCTCAAGTGGAGGTCTTTCAGCTCATGCAGTACCTGATCCTTGGAACTGGAGGTGCCAGGTATTGAACCTGAAACCTTCTGCAAGCAAAGCAAATGCCTCTCTCTGAGGGCACTTGCATTTGTTTGTTCTTCCTCTGAGACCCTATTCTGTGTGCCTGCTGGTTAGGAGGGCCGCTGACAAGAACAGAGCCTTCTGTGTTGTGGCACCTGAATTATGAAGTGCCCAGTCCTCCGCCCTGCCTCTGACTAGTCTTTGACACCAGGTTAAGACTTGTTTCTTTGTTCTGGCATTTGTTCATTGGTTTTGCTTTGATATTGTTGGTAGTACGGTTGTTTTACTTTTGTTTCGTCACTTGTGTTGTTTTATCGTGAGTGATTTACAGTACCATCCTAATAAAATTTGCCTTGGGGCATGCCTCATTGAATAGTAGGATTCCAAGTAGACCTGGTTCGGATTGGTCACTGAGTCACTGCTACTGTCATATAACTACTGAAGCATTTTAAAAAAAATGATTTTGTTCCGGTTGGATTTAGTTAGGCTCTTATCTTCTGCTGTTATCACAATATACAGGAATTCAGAATACAGTAATAGATTGGCTAGCCTCTGCATGGATAATGACAGCTGTATAACAAGGCCTCCCATTGACCAGGTTGGGGTCCCTGCCAATGCTCCCTCTAAGCTGTGGAGTCTTGTGAGCAAAAATTCTACTTTGTGAGCTACTGGCATTAAAGTCGTGAGCGGGCGATTTGGCTACCGTATAAATTAGCATGGTCTGGAGCTACCCTTCCTAAGCTAAGACAAAAATGTGTGAGCCGGAGGCTAAAAAACTATGAGCTACCTCACACTAACTCAGCTTAGAGGGAACACTGGTCCCTGCATTCTTGTGGGACTCCCTTGGTATGCAGAACAATACTTTCACATATAGCCCTACCAAAGGCTATATGTATATATAGCCCTACCGAAGCCCTACAGTTGCCAGATATTAAGAGTCTGCTTAAAATTCTGTTATGTAGACTGTTCCTGATTAACTTTTGCTAACAAAAAAGGCGAAACATGCCTGATCGAATGTATATTCTGGCATTAAAAAGATAGGGTTCAAGAACAGCATGTTTAATATATCTGCCATATTTGTGCTCAGGGGCACCTCTTACACAGTGTTCCCCTTTTTATCTACCTAGGCTTGCCAGATCCCCCCCGGGGTGGGGTTGCCCGCTTTAGTGGCTCTTGATCCACCAGCCCAGATCCGGCCGGTGGGGGAGCCCCACCCCCAAAGTGCCTGGACCGGGCCAATGTGCCCAGCACAATGACATCACCTGGAGGTGACATCATTGCTCCAGGCACGTCGTTGGGGGGACACTCAAGCATTCGGCCTGAATTTCTAGCTGAATGCTAGAGCATCCCCCTGGCGACGTGCCTGGTGTGATGACATCACTTCTGGGTGATATTGCGGTGTGCACTATGCGTGCACACCAGCACACCCCAGGAGGGAAGCTTCTCCCCCCCGCCACTGGCAAAATGTAAGGAGCTGGCAATCCTATATCCACCCTCATCATCAGCTGTCGTGTACTCTGTATTTACTCTTCCTTACACACGCAGCTAAAGAATGCTGTCCCTTTAATTTTCATCTGCAGTCCTTTCCCTGGGTTTTGAGCCCATCTGCTTGCCCCACCTCACCCAGGGAGCAGTTCTGCCAGTTCTTTTGATCTCAAGGGCCTATCTGGTCCTTGAGAACCATCTCTACTTCTCTCTGGAGTAAGTTGCCAGTCAGTAAGTCCTTCCTCAGCCTTCCCTTGGCAGCCTCCTTTCCTTGCAGTCCTTCTTTCCCTCTCTCAGCGGAACCTGCCATTTTATCAGGTTCCAGTCTAGGGGAAAGGAAGCTGCCCCACCCACTAAAGTCTCACCCCCTCCCCACCATGGCTTTATTAAAACTCATCCGGGGCAGCAGCAGCAGAGGACTCATGTGTGACTCTCCTCCCCAGGGGCCGTTTCATAGAAAAAGAGGTGCAGGAGCTCATTAGCATAACTCATTTGCATATGCCACACCCCCTGAAATCACCGGACGTGTGTGAGAAGGCAACACCGACCGCTCAGGCTCCACTGGACAGTTTTGGATTGCTAGCTATTGGGGGGGGGGAGTGGAGATTTGTCCTCGCAGAGAAGGGAGAGCTTGTACCTGAATAAAACTTGGTCTTAAAGGTGCCACTGGAGTGTTCTGGACCGGGGGGCCGGGAGGGGCTCTGTAACTTACCTGGCTGCTTTTTGCTCTGACTGAGGGCTGCTGGGAACAGGGGGTGGGGTTTGTTGCATGTGCCCGCCCTCTGGGCTCTTTACTGCCAGAGCTCCGGTCCTGTGCGCTCCTGCAGGAAATGACCAAAAAATGTATTCCAATATCTGGAAATGTTGAAACTAGAAGATGCTTGAAGGATTAAACACCCCAAAAACAAAGATTTTACTTTTTTTCTGATAGACATCAAACATATTCAAGAATAGATATGTGTTAGATATCAAAAACCTTAACAATAAATCTGGATAAAGCAGAGATTCAACCAAAAATATTCACAGATCATAACCCTAGAGAAGTAGTATGGCAATAGAATAGAAAAACAAGAGGAAGATGAAGGCTAAACAATCCTCTTTTATTACAAGATAATGTAATAAACAAGTGCAAAAAAAGATTTGTAAGAATTTTTAAATAAATAGCACAGAAGGAATGTCCCCAGCTATGGATCCGGTCACACAGGAGGTTTTGCCCCACAAGAGGGACGGATCGGGGGCGCATCAAACGGGCACGATCACACCGCAACATCTGGGAAGCGGAGCGCACCCATCCCTGATCTGTCCTTTCCGGGGGGAAACGTGCATTAAAAAAAGAAAAGAAAAGAAAAGAAGCT